TTCAGCTTGCTAGCTTCGGCGGTGTCCGCGGTTTCCATGCTGGCTGGAGCTCCTTGGGTGGTGTTGCTGAGCTGCTCGGCTGTGTCGTCTTCCCACTCGCTACGGAAAGCGGCGGGAGGCGGGCTCGATTGTTGTCGTTCCCACGTGTGTCTGCGCTGGGTGGTGGGGCCTCGTAGCGTTTCCGGCGATTCTGACCTGCGTGGCTGGTCCTCGGAGTCTTCCCCTGGGCTGGTCGGCCTGGACTTCGTGCGCGGTGACTCGGATCTGCTCCGACTTCGGTCGGCGCACGCTTCGCTGTTGGAGTCGTCCTCTGGCGTAGGGGATTTCTTCGCGGCTGCGTTGTCGGGGATTGACCAGTCCGACTCTTCACTTGAATGGCGGGGGGACAATGGGCTGCGCGGTGACCTGGATCTTGTAGTCGCCGGGCTGGCGCATGCTCCCGTGTCTGCGTTGACTTGCGTGCCTGCGACTTCCTGTAGCGTAGGCTGTTCCTCGTAATACGCCTGCGCCGAGACGTTTGCGGGTGGTAGGACAGCACGTGGTGGCCGGTTGCTTGCTGTTGGCGTAGCTTGCCAAGATGGCGTATTAGTTTTATTTGACTCACGTGGCTTGTTCTTATTGGAATTGGCTACGGATTTCTTTTGGCATCTGTTCATCTCCTCCCTGACGTAGGGGTTGTTGGCTAGTGATGCCCGTATACTCTGTATACGGCTCTGGGGAGTCTTTGTAGCCCCGGCTATTGCCGGTTTGTCACCATCATTTCGTCTGCTTATTTCGGCACTAAAAGCGTCCGAAACGGCACGAAAACACACACATACACTAACGTAGTCTTAATTGTCACTCTGCACTATGAATATTACTAGATTTCTCTATTAATCTGCGAAAACTCGTGATTTTGGCCGGAGCTCTAAAATACACGTCCGTTCGATTCGGCTATCGGAACGGGAGGACACGAGGACCGGCGTATTCAACGTGTATCATTTTTCAGCTGTGCCATCACTGCCGCGCATAGTTATATATAGTTATCAAGCGTGCGTAAGCAGCAGTAAGAGGTATTGCAAGTATATTTGTTTATAACTTTGTTAATTAGTTTTGTTTTTAGGATTTTTTGTAGCAATTATGTCATTTTACCTATTAAATAAATAAAATTAATATTTTGTATTAATTATTATTTTTATACCATTCGGGAACATTAAGGCTAGTTCCAGGAAATCCTTTAATGATATCCACGGGATATACCAAAAGGTCGTCCTTATAGGATCATCTCAGTCTGGGACATAAGGTTGGTTCAAGGACGTCCTGAGGACGTTTGTGATAGCTGGGTATATACATATATATTGTAACACAAGAACGTGAATTAAACAATGTAAAAAATAGGACTTAAACGCGACAATATTGTTTGTTTCTATGTTAACGCTTTTTATTTTTACATTGGCAGGGACAATTTATATTTAAAATCTAAAAATAATTTGTAAAAACGATTAAAGTCCACTACAAACAAAAAAATAGTAAAGAAAAGGTATGGAAACAAAAAATAAAGCAACATAAAACATTAAATATGTTGAATGCAGCGAAAGTCTAAAGAGAATATCATAACACAAAAAGAAGAAAACTATACAAGGATTGTCCAATTATTAATAAAAAATTACACATAATAAATAACTTCATACAATTACTTTCTTTAATATCTTTTAAACGAAGCATGATTTCAAAAACAATGTATTAAAGAAAAGTTTTGTAAATAGACCAAGAAAATTAATTTTATTATAAAATTTAACCAGCAGGATACTAGAAAAAAGTTCGCACCAATGTAAATTGTTGTAACGTAAAATGCCGCCAACCTATAATGAAATGAAAATTTGTTATTTCAATGAAAAAAACTTAAAATCAATGTACTGGTTAATCCATATGGTTTTAAGAAAACAATTTATAATTAGAATTTTTTTTGTTTTTATCATAGACGTTTTGTTTTATTTTAATAATAATAATAATAATAATAATAATAATAATAATAATAATAATTTTATTTTCACAAATTAAAGCTGATTACATACAATCACAGGTAATAAACAACTTTGAAGATGAAGAACGTCAAGCTAAAAGAAACAAAAAAAAGAACAAACAATATTAAGAAAAAAAGAACAGAGAACTAACAGCTACATATTTAACAGAAAAGATAGTTTACCAGAATTCATTCAAAGAATATGGTTCCAATTCAACCAAATAGGAAACAACAAGGTTTTTATATTTATTTGCGTTTTTTGTTTGTTTAATGTTATTAGGCATCCTATTGTAGGCTCGCAAACAAGAGTAGTAACTTCCTTTCTGAAATTGATTTAACCTGTGTTTAGGGAAATTGTAGTTTAAAGTTCTGTCACTAGCACCTTTCATTTGTAAGAACAAATTACTGTGCTTAAAAACAAAGATCAGTAGTTCATAAATGTACACAGCAGTAACAGTCATAACATTGCATCGCCTGAAGTGACCTCTACACGATTCCGTATACTTTAAACCCAATATTGTCCTCATGGTGCGCTTCTGAATAGCAAAAATCTCTCGAATAACCGAGTGTTGCCCCCAGAAAATTATACCGTATTTAAGTATGGATTCAAAATTTGAGTAGTAGACCATCTTCAGGGTTTCATAATCCAGATATGGTTTCAGTACCCTAAGCATGTACAAGGCCGCAGTCAGTTTTTTACAAAGTGTTTCTAGCTGATATTTCCAACTAAGATTTTCGTCTAGAATCAGACCAAGAAACTTTGTTTGCTCGGTGGTGTTGACAATGACGTCATCAAATGGTACATGGCAAGGTGTGATAAAATTAGATTTAAGTGTTTTGAAATAAATTATGTTGGTTTTTTCTTTATTCAAAATAAGTTTGTTTTTCGTGAACCAATTTAGCAGTTTTTTAATGTTTTCTTCCAACATTATCATAACTTGGTCTAAACTTTCAGCTTTTAGAATCATGTTAGTGTCGTCTGCAAAGTTAACTAAATTACCAAATGCCACAGATGACGCCATGTCATTTACGTAAATTAAGAATAACAACGGCCCTATAACACTACCCTGAGGAACCCCCAGGGGTACCAAAACCGGATCTGAAACGTCAGTATTACCATCCTTCGTTACCTCAACAGCCTGCGTCCTCATGTTTAAAAAAGACCGTATCCAGCGCAGTGCATTTCCTTTCACCCCATATTTCTCAAGCTTGGTAGAAAGTATTTCATGATCAATGGTTTCAAAGGCCTTTGAAAGGTCCAAGAACACTCCAATTATCACTTCACGTTTCTCAAAGCCCAAGAGTATCTCCTGTGAGAAATCATGCACCGCGGTGGACACTGACCTCTTCCTTATGTAACCATGCTGTGATGCACTAAAAAGATTGTTAATATTAAAAAAATCTACTACTCTAACTGCCATGGCGGTTTCAAAAATTTTCGAAAATGATGACAACAAGCTTATTGGCCTGTAGTTTTCTATTTGAGTTGGGTCGCCTTTTTTTAATATAGGTTTTACTTTAGCTATCTTTAAAGATTCTGGAAACACACCATGTAGACAAGAGTTATTGACAATGTAGGTTAAAGGCTCACATAGTTCAGGGATAGAATATTTAATTACAGTCATAGGAATCTCATCCATACCACTACTAGTCTTGTTCTTAAGATTTCTGACAATATCACACAATTCAGTACATGTTACAGGATTAACAAACATGCTTTTAACATTGTTTTTTATATCACAAGTATAATCTATTTGTTCTAAATCATCAGTTAATCTCTTAACAGTATTTATAACAAATTTATTCATTTTAGTTGAAATATTTTTTGAGTCTCCTGGTACAAGAATATCTGATTTATTTTTTCCCCCTTTTATATCTTTTACAACACTCCAGGAGGTTTTACTTTTATTGTCAGAAAGCCTGATTTTATTATTATAAAAAATTTTCCTAAAATTAATTAACAAATTGTTATAAGCCTTTTTTTCTATATTATAAACTTCTTTATATCTATCATCATGTATTTTCAATGAGTAAAGTACATTAAGTCTTGCTTTGCAATTTGCTATCTCTGGTGAGTTATAGTTTATTTTTTGTGCTTTTTGTTTAAACAATTTTAAAGGAAAACATTCATTGAAAATTGGTTTCAAAATATTAATAAAAGCGCCGAATTGTCCGTTCACATCCGTCGCATTACAACTATAAATTGGATCCCAGTCTTGCTCCTTTATTAAATTTACAAATTTTATTTTATTTTCAAGGTTAAATAGGCGTTTTTTGGAATATACTTTTTTGATTTTTTCAATTTTAAAGCTAACCTTTTGACCTAAGTGATCAGACAGATTCCAATTTATAATTTCAGAGTTTAAATAACTTATGTTGGTGAAAATATTATCTATGCATTTTTTGTTTGTTTCTGTAACGCGTGTATAATCATATATGGTTGGTTTTATATTGAGTTTAACATAGACAATAGTTTGCGTTTATCATGTGAAGTAACATCAGCACTAGTATCAATATTCAAATCACCAGCAATAAACAAATTGCAAGTTTCATTGTTTAATTTATTTAGGAGTTTTTCTAATTTAGAAAAAAATGGTTTCGTATTTTTAGAGTCATTATTATAGATACATATCACAATATATTTTACATCACAGAAGTATACTTCCACAGCTGAACATTCAAATGCCTCACATTTTGATAACCTGATTATATCAGATCTTTCCCTTGCTTCCAGATTCTTATTGCAGTAGATAGCACTTCCACCATGCTCTCCTGCCTTCCTGCAGTAATTTGACACCAGTTTAAGATTATTAATTTGGTAGAATGGTAGTTGTTCTATAGATTTCCAGTGTTCTGTTACGCATAAACACATACAATCTGTATTTATCTGATTGTTTATTATGTTAATACTGTTTCCTATCGATTGTAAATTGTAATGTATAATAGATGCCATGTTTTGTTGATTTAATTTTACATTTTGATACTGCGCTAACTTGACTTGTTCTTCTCTGCCAGACTGTATAAAAAAGAACTAACACAGGCCCCTTCTGGCCAAAGTGCTGGGTTTTTAAGGTTTTCTACTGCTGTTGACGGAACAGTAATTATGTAGGATTTATATATGTTTGGGTGTTTTGAATATCCATCTTTTACTTCAAATTTGGTAATTCCATTTTCAGTCAAGTGACTTTTCATAGTTTCAATTGTGCTACCAGTTTCAATTCGACTTATATAGATTGACTGCATCTTCGCAACTCCTTTTAAACTGGAATTTGCATTATTTCCCAGGATTTCTGGTTTTTTGGATTTTTTCTTGTATGTAACTTCTTTAAAGTCCTTGTTTAAGTTTGTATTGTTTACTTCTGCTTGATTTGCATTTTGTTGTTTGGTTATGTTTTCAATATTTGACGCTTTTTGAGGCGCCATCTGTGTTTCGGATGGATTCAACTGTATTTTCGGTGTAGTAGGCTTCTTATTTTTATTTCCAGAAGCAGCTGCGCCCGAATACGAAAGTAGTTTAAAAGTAGGTTGGCTTGTTGTGGGCGATGTTGCCATATTGCCATTTTTATTTATTGGGTTTTCTGAACTTTTATTTTTTAATAATTCTATAATGTATGTTTGTTCTTTTATCCTACCTTCTAGGTGTTCGATGAGTCGCGCCTGAAGTCCATTTTCTGTCTCCAGCTTATCAGCATTTTGATCGTAAACTTTTTGTTGTTGATTTTTTAGGTTAGATTCTTGTTTGAAATGTAAATTAACCATGTTTCTTAGTTTTTCCTGTGTTCCTTCACTAATACTTGTACTAGAGATCACTGGCACACTTTTTTGCACAATTGTTGCTATTAATTCGTCTTTATTTAACCGCTTTAGATTACTTGTTAGCAGAGCAATATCCACCTCAGACGCCATATTGCTACCTTTAATACCTTATTAAAACTTTATTATTAAGTATCATGTCTTTAACCCGACGAACTTTTTTCTGTACCGCCCTAGTTAAATTTGACCATAAAATTAGATTCCTTATTTGTTTAATAAACTTTTTGTCTTTAATTTTTTTTTTGATATTTTACTTTGGATTGGATGAACTTGGATAGTAAAACAGTATAGTTATACTTAACTTATTTATTAAAGGACATGTTGCTTCTTCCAGCTACAAATTGGTTCTGTCTATTCCTTAGTATTGCAATTAGGTTAAAGGTTTAATGAATATGATTGGTATTTTTCCATTACACCTCCCTTGGGGAAGAAAAAAACCCACCCTAATATTTAATTGTAAAGTCATATTCTTTATGCACTAACCTAAATTTTGTTAGTCTACTTGAAGTATTAACCATTCCAAATAAATATACTAGACGCCTGTGGTCGGTTAAAATAATAAATTTTGTTCTAAATAAATAAGGTCTGAAATGTTTTACCGCCCAACCAATTGCAAGAAGTTCTTTTTCGATAGTACTAGTAATTTTTCGGATTTGTTTAAACATTTGCTTTCATACGCACCGGTTTATCGTCTTCATTAAAGAGAACTGCTCCAAATGCATACCCTGATGCATCAGTTTTTAGAATAATTGTATTTTTTTTTGAAGAATTAAATGAATATAAGTTGGTAGTATTAAACGAAGGGAGTGAGGTCTCTTGGGGGACAAGAGGCCGGCTAACATCAGCTGTTGACAGAGATCGGATTTGTGTAACGATCTCACCCAATTTATAAATGTTTTATTTTAAAACCTAACTACGTTTGTTAATTAAATACTACAGTGAGTTTTGGTTGTTATTTACCACGGTTTAAGTTCTTATTTAAAGTTGTTTGTAAATTCACGTGCAACATGGTAAGTGTGGTTTGATTTGTTATCTTTAATTTACTAAGTCATCCTGTCTCATAGATGTGTTCAGTGGCGTTATAAATACGTTTTATTTATTTCATCGGCCGTGAGGCTACATATTTTGCCGTTTTAACAACATTTTGAAAAAGAAACGGGAGAAATCCGTATTGACAGGCTAGGTGGTAACGAGACTAATTTGCTTATTATTTCATTAGGGTTTCTTTGGAGTGCTACTTGGGAGGTCTTTGAAGGTTTATTGATAAACTTTTTCGGATTGAGCAAACCGAAAACAGTTATTATCACCAAGTCAGACCAAGAATAGGCTAATCATGATGTGGAAGCCCCCATATGAACAATTATAATGTTAAACAAGAGCCAACTCCAGGAAGGGATTTAGGTTTAGTTTATTTTAATTTTTTTTACAATGTTATAACTATTTTTAAAAAGTCTTGGTAAATTATAATCATAAAGGTAAAGTTACAATTGATTTACATGTAAACAAATAGCTATTTGGGTTGTTGTATTAGTTTTTATAGAGATCAACAAATAAATTTATAAGGATATTCCTAAAACATTTAAATATTAAATTATTAATTAAGGTAAGTAATTGAAATTTAAGTTTTAACTTCTTGCGCACAACCAAAAGTTGATTTCAGCTCTGTATACTTGTGGTGGCGCCCGACAAAATAGTAAGTGTGGAAAATCAAAACGTCTTAACCTACCAGATGTGGTGCCGGTGCTGTATTTCCAACCCTATGTGTTTTTTCGTATCGTTTTATGAGAAGTTCCCAGGCTACAATTATTTTAACTTCTTGTTGTTTTCTGCACATTGTTGTACTAATTCGTCGATTTTGGCTGTTTAAGATCAATATGGTCTTGGGCGTTTAAAAATTCGTATCCTTATTCCAAGTTTTCTTACCTTAAGAACTCTTCTAACAGCTAATTTCCTAATATGCTTTCGTGTATCGGTCAACATTGCCATAAGGATATGCTCGGGATGTACAAAGTAGGTATTGTCCTGAATTTCTTTATCTATACACAACAACGTCAACGTAAGAACTTTAGAAAACTGACAGTGGCGCGTAATAATTTAATTTATATTTCATCAAAAGGGCTTGGTTACACATTGAGATTTATTAATGATATTTTTTCTATGATAATAATAATAATAATAATCTTTATTAGTGTTTTTAAAAGGAAGTACAATTTTACACACGTCATACAAGAGAGAAGAAATTACATTTAAAATAGATTCAGAAAGTGTGTACAATACAAAAAAGTGTATATTAAAAATAAATAACATTTATAAGGATACAAAATTTAGATACAAAATTTACAGTAACTAGATAAAAAGAAAAAAAACAACTATATTGATTTAATTTAGGAGGTAGCATTATATCACAGCATTTAAATACTCTTCAAAAGAGTAATAGGCTTTTTCAGTAAGAAGTCTCTTTATGCAACATTTAAAAGCATTTCCGTTCATTTGCCTGATGTGTTCAGGAAGCTTATTATAAAAGGCCTGTGAGTAGTACGATGTTGAGGTTTTTGATTTTGCTAGCCCAAGTGAATTTATTCGTAGGTCGGTTTTTCCCCTTGTGTTATGGTTATGGATGTTCATCCCCGAATTATATAAAGGTAGATTGTTTTTTGCAAACAAGATACATTCGTATATATACCTTGAAGGTACTGTCATTATATTTAGGATACTGAATTGGTGCTTTACATCATCCCTAAATTTAAGCTTTGAAATAATTCTAATCGCCCTTCTTTGTAAGGAGAAAATACGTTTTGCATGCGCCGACTGACCCCATACAAATATACCATATACACAGACACTTTGGAAAAGTGCATGATAGGCCGTAATTAAAACGTTTTTATCTACTGCAATTTCCAATTTTTTCAACACAAAAATTGCCCTACTTAATTTATCTGAGATTACATTTACATGGTTTTCAAACTTTAATGTTGGATCTAGATGTATTCCTAAGAAATTGACATTTCTGGGATAATCCTCATTATCATATTTTCTTAAGGAGAATATCATATTTATTGTCTTGGTTTTATTGAGACTTAAGCGCATTGAGTAAAACCACTCTTCAATACTGGAGATAGAGGCACTCATGCAGGCCTCAAGCTGATTTTGGTCATTATGTATATTAATAAGAGTTGTGTCATCTGCATATAAAACTATCTTACCAGTTGGCAAAGCTGTCCTTATGTCATTTATATAGATAATAAATAGTAGAGGCCCCAAAATAGATCCATGAGGAACTCCATAACGATTTGCCTTCACTTCAGAAAACCCACCATAGAAAGTTACCTGCCTCCTATTGGTGAGGTAGCTGGACATCAATTTCAGACCCACATCACTCACCCCATATTATTTTAGTTTTTCAATTAAAATTTCATGCGAGACACAGTCGAAGGCCTTGGAGAGATCACAGAATGTAGAGCCTACATGCATGCCCTCCTCAAAACCCTCCACCACTGCCTCACAGAGTTCTGTAACTGCTAGAACAGTAGATTTATTTGTTCGAAATCCAAATTGATGAGTGTTAAATAACTGGTTATATTCAAAATATTCATAGAGTTGAGATTTAAGCAATGATTCAAAAATTTTAGATAATATTGGGATGAGTGCTATTGGTCTGTAATTGCCTATCTCCTTAGTGCAACCTTTTTTATAAACTGGTATCACTTTGGAAATTTTAAAACAGGATACACTCCCTCTTTTATACATTGGTTAAAAAGTTTTGTTAGTGGAGTTATGATAACATCTATAACCGATTTTATTAATTTTATATTAAGTTCGTATATATCCTGACTGCTTTTGTTTTTCAAGTTGTTTACCGCATCTCTAACCTCTATCATGGAGAATTCTCTAAAGTGAAAACTCAGTAGAGGAGGGACCCTTATGTTTTTAAGAAAATCCTCAAAATGAACTCTTGGAGCCTCTAGTTCATCTATTATATTTGTGGGAACCTCTACAAAGAAATTATTAAAACTATCTGCATGAATACCTGTATCTCCAGCAGTGAATACACCCTTTCTGTTTGAGTTAATAATATTCCATGCCGGTTTTATTTTGTTACTTGAATTTGCTATATATTTGGAATTTGCTTTAAATTTTGCTTGAGTAATAGCTTTTTTGTATTTGATTTTATATTTTTTGAGTTGATCAGACAAATTTTGTGTTTTAAAATTGGAGTACAGCTCATTTAGTAGTTTTAGTTGTCCCCGCATATTTCTAATATCCTTACTAAACCATGAAATTTTGTTTTTGCTTCCTGAAACACAACGCTTTTTAATGACTGGAAAAGCCAGATTTCTGTAACATAAAACTGCATTTAAAAAATAGTTAAATTTATCATCTATACCCATTTTAGAGTTTAAAAAAGCCCATCCCTCATTTTGCAGCATTTGATAAACATTAAATGTGCCTATATAGGAAATTGGTCTAACACAAGTATACTCAGTCTTATCAATATTTTTAGTTAACAATTTACGTATGTCTATTGAAACATTAATAGCACAATGATCGGACAAAGCCGGATTAAAAACATCACTAAAAGATCACTAAAATTTAAAAATATATTGTCTATACAGGAGTTAAAACGAGTATTTTCAAAGATCATTTGTTTAAAACCATATGATTTTATGACATCCAAAAAATCATTTGATTTAGAGTATTTTTAATTAAAATTAATATTAAAATCCCCATTTATAACTACTTTTTTGTTAAAATTAAATATTTTATCACAGAGCAGATTCACAATTGATAAAAAAATATTAAAATCACCTTTTGGTGGTCTGTATACAGTTATAATAATAAAACCTAACTTTAAAATTTCAATTGCACTAATTTCACAATCCATTTCGGCACTTAAATTTACCAAATCAATATTTTCACCAAAGCTAATTTCGTTCTTGACCAGGATCATGGTTCGTCCATGTCCATGAAGAGATCTTGCAAAAGATGATGCTATTTTGTATCCATGAAGAGTGAATGAACTTATTTCTATTTTATTTAAAAAATGTTCTGACAAACAGATAATATCGTATTGATCTCTATCCATTAGAAATGCT